TGTAATATCATTGGCAGCTAATTTATGTGAATTTATATGTGCAAAAAGTGCTTTTAATGAACTCGACCATTCCCTACTTGATATCTGCAACTACTAATGATCAAGTTTTAATGTATGTTCTTTTATGTGCTATCATGCTGCATAAACTATACATAAACTTGGGTAAATTGATTGAGAGAGCAGAAGTACTATAAACATGATTTGTTTTTGATTAGCTGCAGGGAAGATAATGGCAGGCTCATTGTAGGTGCGAATGGGATGACTGAAATCAAAACTTTCTCTTGTATAAAGGAAAATTTTTAAAGCTTTGAAAGGTGTCCTGACAAATGGCTTATCAGTAATGCGAATGATGGGTTATATGGGTGATAGCCTCTTTATCAGGCAAACTTTACAATTCACAGTTAACGCGTTTTCTCAATCTATAAAAATGTAAACTCATGAAAGAGACTGGCAGTCTGCAGTACGATAACCTTTCAAACCTTGAAGTTTTCAGAGTAGAAAAAACGGAGGTTCTCAGCGCACTTTCTTTTCAGTGCTTAGCACTTTCATGTAAAGGAGCCGGGGCGTTATGAGTTTGGTACTGACCACAGTTTTTTTGCACGAACTCACCTACTTCAGATTATCGTTTTGATTTAGCAGTCATATTCCTGTAGTATGCGTTAGTAGACCTTCAAATCCTTGGAATTCGCTGATTTATTTTATGGAATTATTGAAAAGTTCACAACGCCATATCACTCTGCTGTGGTTGGACGCTATACAAATTGTAAATTATTTTCACTTTTATTTTTGAATGACTCAAGATCGTTTGTTTCTGTCAAAAGCTCCATGATTTTTACGATAGAAAATTTTGCAAGATTTCGGGTATACATGGGAGGTTTTGGTCATTATCTGAAATAACAGTACAAATATCATCAATAATCACTGGGAGTGATCGATTCTATGAAATTCGTACGTATGTTTGCCATCTCACAACGAAAAACCAAAGAATCAGATAAAATTGTGGAGATACCACCGCGAACGTGCGAGAATAAGCTGATAAAAGAATCGGTTTCAGGGTGAACTACCAGGAAAAGATATTTGAGCAACATCCAATGGCACTTCTACAGATCTGTTGTAACTCAGAATTAGGAGGTGAAACAAATGAAAAAATTTTTTTGGCCAAAGGTTTGCGAGCGGCAGCTAGGTGTGAGATTTGCGGCTCAACACTGTTAATATCTGAATAATAAACTTGTTGTTGTTTTGTGTCAGGTTATCTGTCTTATTATATAAACATGAACAAGAAGAAGATTCCAAGCCTTATAGTTATGTTCAGACCCATCTTTTTAAAAAATCAGGCGCCAGAAACAACTTCCTTAAATTAGCTGATGTCCATATCATGAATTTGAACTTGTTCTGGTGGAACTACAGTGTATCATTTATTTGCTTATCACTGAAGATGGAGAGTAGTATTTTAGTTGAATAGAATTTTGTGATAAAAAGATGAAAGCTTGTTTATCTTTTGAATAGTAAAAAAATCTTTTATAAGGAGTGACAACAAAAATCTTTGGAATGCATTACAGACCACCTACACTACTGAGAATCTTTTATAATGGGGACACATATGACCATGAAGCCTAGGTTTGTTTGGTCCATGGATAAGCTTAATCCACGAATTTCGATGTCATGAATAGCATTAGTGAAAATAAACTTGGTAAACAAGATGTATTGGACATTTAGTTTTCTCTTGGTTTTGATTGTGATTGGTCAAACAATATGCGGAAGCAGCATGAAAATTTTATTACATTTATGGGATTTTTCAAAGCTCCAAGTCTTCGAAATTTGAGTAAGTTTGAAAAGGGCAAAAGCCATATAAGGACCCAAGAAAACAGCACAAAATTCTCGCAGTATACCACGCAGTATTAGTTTCCAGAAAACAATGGATAACAGATGAATCGATAATGGCGCTCCCTGCCGAATCCATCGTGTAATTGATGTAAAGATCAACAGTTAAGTTTGAAGCTATCTGGTACAATCTTAACAAGAGAAGCTCTGGTCCTTTCAAAGCTGAAAGCTTCTGACACGTTTTCCAGTTTGCACGACGCTAATATCTCCACCAAAGGTTCAGTATTTTTCGGTGGAGATCAAGAAAATGATCAAGACACTAAACGAGCGCGAAAATAAGTGTATAAAAGAGAGCGGTGACCAGTGCTCGGTGCAGTTCAGCTTTTTGAGGCTGGTCACTTGCTAACCCCTTTTCTACTAACAATGAAGTAAGTCTTTTCTCTTGAATCTCTTTCCTTTTTTTGAATAATTTGTGTATGTGTTTTTCCAGGTGGTTCTGGTTTATCACCCTTATCGTACCCGTCCTCGCCTACCCACTTGAATCGGATGGAAGTGGTGCGCCTCGTCTGTGTCCCTACTCAGGAGAAGCTGCTCCAGCTTATCCACCATGCGACTACATTCCCCAGGAGGAAGTGACCGAACCGCCTCAGGAGTGCAATACTTGCGCCATGGAAGAGCCGACGATTCCACCTACACCGGAGCCATGCAGCTGTTGTGCTGTGGAACAGGCAGAAGAGCCAGAGACTACACCTGCTCCCGAGTCCTGCTGCTGTACGGAGCCAGTACCGGAACCGGAACCGACCCCGGCACCGGCATGTGCCTGTCCCCCGATGGAAGAAGAGACTACAGTTGCTCCTGATATGTGTGAATGCCCTGTGCAAGCAGAGCCCGAAACGACTGCCCCGCCGCCTCCTCGTAAGCCCCTCCAAGTGCCTTTTCAGTATAAAATAGTTTTTTAGCAGCGCCGTCCTGTGGATGCGGATGCGGCTGCGGCTGTGGATGCTGTGACTGCTGCTGCGACTGCTGTGAAGAACCAACGACAACCACTACCACAACCACTACGACAACGACTACCACCACCACTACCACTACGACGCCAACAACGACTACGACCAGTGAGTACGGTAGCTATACGGTGCCAATTTCTCAAAGAATATAATCTCTGTATTTAGGCCCTCCATGTTGTTGCTGCTGCTGCCGAAGGAGACCTAGCTGTGGCTGTGGATGCGGTTGCGGTAATGGTTGCCAGAGACCGGTGGAAGAATGCGCAGAAGAGCCTGCACCTGAAATGGCTGAGCCTGTACCGGCTATTTTTTTGAAATTTTATCTTTCCCTGTGATTCTGTAGTATTGAGTCTGCTTTGTTAGGGCTGCGCTGATGGCTGGTTCCGCTATCAAGACTCCTGCTATTACATGGAACTGACTAAGATGGATGCAGCAAGCGCTGAGAGAGCCTGCAACGAAAAAGGAGGATCACTGTTTGTGGCCGATACCCTTGCCGAATTCGTGAGTTGCAGCGCAAAGATTCCTGTATTGAAGAGTAATCAGAGATTGCTTGTAGAACGAAGTGATGAAGGAGGCCCCACTCTATTTCTGGAGCTGGATTGGACTTGGGCAGTCTGAAGGTGACAGTTATCCGAAGTGGCACATGCAGGGAACGTAAGTCTCTCATAGGAAGTTTTGATTTTTATGCAAGAAATCCATTTCAGTTCACCGATGAAATGCGAGAGATGCCTCCCTCCACCCATGTTTGTGCCAATTTGGGATGGCATCTACGGAATGGACCCATCCCTACTGTAAGCTTAGTCCCTACCAGGATCTGCTTCTCATCCGTAATCCTACCATTTAGCAAATGGCTCGTTCTTCCATTCAACGCAGTCTCAAACGGATGGTCGACGGCTGCAACTTGCGTCGCCTACTACAGCATCAATGTCTACTCGTCCAC